GTGGCACACCGCATGCCCCCTCCATGGCCACGGCAATACCCGTTCGAGATGGACCCCTTGACGCATCCAGGCGACTTGCACCGGACGCCACCACCATGCGTCTTGCATTTTCCTCGAGACTGGACGGCCTTGAGGCACCCGACGATGGTGCAGGGCTTGACGCCGCCGTGGGCTGTGCACTTGCCCGCAAATTGGGCAACCCGTGGACATTCGGGGGCGTCGCAGTATCGTCGCCCACCGTGCTGTGTGCACATGCCCTGGCTGCGGGCAAACTTGGCGCATCCAGTCACCGCACACAGCTTTCGCGCGGATGGCACTTGAGACAACGTCATGTTCAAAGCACAAGTGCCCTGGTGCTTGACGAACGCCAAGCACATTGTCGCAGGAACACTTCTATATTTAGCCAGGGGAACGACAGGTGGCGCTTTGTCGTGCCCTGATAGAATGATGTCGCCGCCGCCATGCGAGCTTTCGATCCAAACAGGACGCGTGGGTAACTCTGGGATCGCCGCTGGCCCCCCTGTGTCAGGTGCACTCGTCGACTGGAGTAGTACACGGTGGTTCGGGTGGAAGTGCCATTACCCACCCAAAACCTGGGTGGGTATGGTGGTGGGCACGCGGGCGGCTGGGAGCAGGCAATGGGTATGCGTGGTTGCCTTGAAGACGAGCGTCTGGTGGGTGATCCACATATATGGTATTACACGGCTCTGATGCATTGCCATCCGTGCAACCTTTCACGTATCCCGTGGTGATCGACAGCACCAGAGTGGTGGTTGAATTGGATGTGTTATCGCACCCACCCACGCCCATTGCCCACCCAAATCCCGGTTTTGGGTACCCAGGACTGTGGGGTTTATTTTGACCAGAGTAACCGCTCCCCGAGTTGACGCGCCATGGGAAACGGTCCGCCACGTTCGCATTGACCTGGCTTTGACGATGCCGCCACTCGTGCCCAAGAAGTATCAGTGGCCGCTCTTGACCCTTCTTGTGACCGGCGCTTTGCTCGGCGCGACCGATGTCCTCACGTATCGCAAAATGAACGTTCTCATGCACGCCACCGGCGCCCGACCCAATGCGGCCGTCGCGTCCTTGCGCGCGACAACGGTCACGTCCATTCCACCGCATCCAACTGCGTCGATCGCGATGCAAGAGTTAGAAACGACTCGTCCCGTCTCGGACGACGAGCTCGTCACCCCATCTCCGTCGGAGTCTGTCTCGATTCCTCTGGCGGCGGAATCAAACACCCCAGCACGTTTTGTGCCGCGCCAACTACGCGTCCTCACCTTGGCGGACAACCCGCGACCGGTGCGATCGCGGCCTTGACTGTGGGGTCCGCGCCATTGCTTATAGGGGAAATGTAGGAAATCTGCCTGACCGCGACGTCCGTGTTCCAAGCAGGCATGGTGCTCCAAGTGCTGGCATGGGACCACAGCACCGAGTTTTTTGATCACACGAGCTGCGGCGACCCGTGCAAGCCAAACGCAGAGGGCGACTTTCGCGTCGGCCAGCAGAAAAAGGTGCACCCTTCGCTCGGACGACACCGGGACTTACGATCGGTGTACAGGTGCACTGGCTGTCGCATTTCTTTGAACACAACACGGATCTCCACGACGACGACTTGATCCTTTTCACGGACGCATGGGACGTCGTGATCCAGCGCGACCTGCGCGAGATCACCAACGTGTTCTTGGCTCAAACCAACCACGATCGCGGCGTTGTGTTCAACGGCGAGCCTGGATGTGGCGACTCGTTCACGTTGCCAGGTAGGTCCAACATGCGCTTGGCTTTCGTGCTGCCACCCCTCCCACGCCCCGGTGCGCATGCCCATCGATCCCTTGCCTAGGCATGTACGGCGATCAACTGCGCCACGGGTCTTTCGCCGTCCAGCTCGAGTCGACGTACCCCGCCCGCATGATCCAAGGCGACAACATGTGCAACATGATTGCAGCCAAGACCTCCATGAACTCGGTACTGCGCAGACGACCTCGACGCACGTGTATACCCGTCGCTGTAGCTGTCCAAGGGGCCTAACTGGAGCCTCGGGTCCGGCGGGATGCTTGGGGACGTGCGCAGCGTCCGCGCTTTTCTTCGGCGCGTCAACCAAGTGCACGCCGAGCAGTTGGACAAATACTCGCGCCACGAGTCGCCATTTTTCTTTTACGGCGACCAAATTGCGTTCCAGTTGGCTTACGTTCGGTACGATCCGCGCGGACGGCCATTTCATGACGCCGCGCGCTTGCCAGGTTCCCCGAGATAAACGTCAAGGTCGACACAAGCGGCGACATTTTCTTTGTCACGAGCTTCTTCGTCACGCCGGGTGACCTCGACCACTTTTCCCTCCACGGCGGGTGCGACGACGCGTACTTTGCCCACAACACGCCGTCCAAGCTCGCGTGGCATGGCGGCACGCCGTTTTTTCTCCACTTTCCAGGTGTGGTTTGTCTTGGCTGACGCATTTGGCAAGATGGCTGTAGGCGGCTACAAACACTTGTACGCGACGTGTGCACCTCAAGTGGAGCACGCCGTTCGGGACCAAGCCCCGGGCAAGTACATGTTTGATGTCGACCGCCAGAAGAACGTGCTTGTCTCGTCCGTGTGCCCCAATTACTCGTAGCCATCGACAACTGGGCGAGTCCATCGCCACCGCCGGGGATGCCCGCCGAACCACGCCCCGTCCTGTCATCGACTCGAGAGTGAGAAGTCGACCGCCTAGACGTGTGTAAAACACAACAGTGCAGCTCGATATGCGTGGTAGAGGTGTTGCAATTGTGCGCTAGGCATGGGCTCGTAACCACAGCAACGAAGATGCCGGAAAGGTAGTGGTGGCAGTGCGGCATCGAGCTCTAGGCAATGTGCAACGCGGCAAGCGGTGGATATTGTTGGATGTCGCCGTGCGTACTCATGGATCTGGATGTTGGGGTCGATTGGAAACGAGATGTACAGGACATTCTCGACGACTCGGCCAAGCTCCGCCTTCCGCGAGCGTGTAGCACAGCTGCTTTCCACGGCGGTGGGGGAGCCTGCGGACCTTTGCTTTTACGTGACACAGCTGCGGGATGATCATGCTTAAGTTGTCGTGGCGGCGTTGGACGCGGTTGGTTTGCCGAGGGCCGCGAATGCCAGCGCGAGCGCGTCCTTGGTCTGGAGCGGCACTCGTTTCACCAACGCGGGGAAATCCTGCAGCCGCTTTGGTGGTTTATGCGACTTGAGCACTTGTTGGCGCCGCTTCTCTCGGGCTTCTTCCGTCTCGCCCTCGATGTCGTGGTAGTTGGCCGAAGCTGCCTGGACATGGTCCGCCCACGCTTCGTAAAATTCGTCGAGGAGGGTGTAGTACAAGCTAGCCATGAAATGTAGCATGGCGTCGACGGTGCCAGCCTCACCGCAGGTTGGTCGTCTCCGCGTCTGCCAGGTACACAGCCTCTCGCGCTCGACGCCGGTGCAGGTTTCTAGCCAAACGCACGTTGAATGCGTCCGTCGGTCGCAGTTCCAGCGCACGAACGACACCCGACTGCGTACTTGATGTGGCGGCGGCTCTGCTTTGCCATCTTGGCCGCCACCGTGGTGGGAAACGGCATGTGCGTTAGGCTCTTGCCGTACGTCGTGAACGGAACGTGGCCGATGGCGACCTTGTCCACATCAACATGGCGGTGCCGTCCCTTCACTTTGCCTTCGCTGAACGACCCTTCGTACCAAAACTCGGCCGACAAAGGACGTGGAGCGCTGTCCGACGAGGCGCTGCTGGCTTCTCGGACCTGGTTTCGTCGACGCGTGGCGGGATCTTGTCCAAGAGCCTTCAGGCAGAGCGCCATCCACGATGCATCACGATGGCATGCCAACGTACCCGTGCCGTGACTCGGCGATGCGACTCGGGTACGGAGTAGATCAAGTCTCCTCGTCCAGAAGGCAGATCGTCGGCCCAGAATCCCCGCAATGTCGCATCGCGCTCGTGCAATCGAAGCACGCCGCGACCCGTCTTGACGCCTGCACGACCCATGCCAACGGGACATTGGATACCATGCAACGTTGTCGACAGCGGCGATGGCGTACCCGACTCAAAGCTCCCTTCGTACACGTCCTGGTGCTTGGTCCGTTGGGTTCCAAATCCATCCAAGACGCCGTGCACGAACATGCCTTCCTCGACGTGGCTACACAGCGCGCGGAGTCAGTTGCGGGCCATCCCGCTGCTCGCCGCTCGCGATCCATTGTGGAGTACACCCACGTGAGGTCAAGTGGGTCATCTCGTTCCGCCGGAAATCGTCGAGTGCGCATCGTACCCGTTGGGCTCCTCTCGAAAGCCTTCGCCATGCAGTTGCCCGTCGAGAAACTCGCCTTCTTCCACCACGCCCGTGGACGACACATACCGACCCTGTCCGCAGATTCGACCGTCGACCATCATGCCTTCGTACCTATGCGTCGACGTCGACGAAAGTCGCCTCATTCCAACGACCGTACGTGGCGCCATCAGCAAACTGCCACGTGCCTTGGCCGTGGGGCACGCCGTCTTGAAACTGCGCCGGCAAGAGCGATTTCGGGTACGGGTCGTGGCTGTGAAACGAGTACCGCGATCGCGGCACGTCAAAATTCCCAACGTACTTGTCGCCTTTGCCGTACACGAGTTGCCCTGCCGCCACGAGTTAGACGTGCGGGCCACTCGCTCGAGACGAGTCGCAGCGATCGACGGCCGAGCAACGCGAAGACCACATACCGTGGCCATCGCGCACGTTGTACACAAACGCGCCAGAGTACACGCCGTAGTTGGTGTACTCGATCCCGTGCTGGTCGTGCTTGAGCCCGTTCACCCAGTGGCCGGAATACATGGCATCGATCGAGCTGAAGTGAAAGTCATCGTCTGTCGGGAGCGCAGCCGACACAAACAGGTCTAGTCAGTTGTATTAATGAGTCGGACGACAGGGCCTCATGTCTGGCACGATCGAGGCGACCGACGGCGCCGCAGCCGGCGACACGTCCGCACAGAGCGTGTGCAGCCAACAAGGCCATGCCGCACCTCCGACACCATGCTTGACGCGAGTGACGCGCACCATGCGCATGTTCACTTCATGCGTGGGGTCGTCGAGTTCGTCCATGGTGACTGTCGGATCAGGGCGCGTCGTGCTAAGTCGAAGGCTCCCCCAGTCGGGTTTCTCGATCGCCTACGCTTGGCCGTCATGGCCCTGCTTGAAACACGCACTGACAAACCAGCAGTGCCAGCTCGGGGCCGCGCAGACTCTTGAAGTCGGCAAACCAGTTGAGCTTTTCCTTGTCCTGTTCGACAACACGCATGACACTCTCGATTGGGTGGCTGCGATGACAACGATGTCGCACGCACATTTTCGACGTCAGTGTCCACGAATCGATGTTCCGTCTAACGAGCAAGGCACCGCCCTTAGCGTGCGCGACGATCGCCGACAGATAGGGTACCCCGTCCTTGAGAAAACTCAGTTCGATGGGCTCGGACTCGACGAGGCGTGTGCGACGACCGAGTTTCTTGGTGGCTTTGGCGAGTTGGTCGTCCAGGGCTGTGATTTGAGTCGCCATGGCAGCGGCGAGCTTTTGCCGCGTCTCCGTCTGTTCGTTTGGCTTGCCATCCTACATGCATTCCATCGTGACGGTTCGAAGCAGTGCACCAAGAACGTGGACAGCGAAGGGCACGCAAAGTTGTTGCAACAGCGCCGCCTCACGCATGGCTGTGCCACCGCGAGACGAGCTCAAACACCCAAGCAAGGCCAGCCAAGCAACAGCACAAACGTCGTTGCCAACAGCGTCGCCACGATGCGCGTTGGGGCGATCGTCGTACCAAAATCATCATCGGGACCTCGTCACGCCGTTGCTTCAGCAAGTCCAGTTTCTTGGTTAACACGGCGATGTCGAACTTGGCGTCGAGGATGGGTTCGTATTCTTGCACCAAGCCGGCAATAAGCCACGCGCGGAGGTCTTTCTCTTGCACCTAGGTGTATGTGAGAGCCGGGCACCCTACACGCACCACCTACCTCCTTGGGCACGTTGGCAATTTTGACGACGGTCTCACCTTCATACCGAGGGTCAAGAGCGTCGTCGACGGGTTCGGGTTCGTTTTTGGCCACGATGTCATAGCACCACGGCGCGCCAGGCTGTGCTGGGCGAACTTCGAGAAGCCACTGCTTGGGCCACAGCACATCTAGTCGTCACGAATGAGCGCGTTGGTGGCATCCATAAGGCCAAATACTTTCAAATTGGTCCTTGATGTAATGGGCATGGCACTGGAACAACCGATTGATCGTCTTCCTGTGTGAACGTTGATCAAAATGCAACAAGATGCGAGGAGTTGTCGTACAGACGAAAGTTCGACCGCAAGATAGGTTGATATGGATTCGTCGCACGATCCATGTTGTTTGGATCGTGCAGCCGAACGAAGATCGAGTCTTCCTTCATCTCATCCACGACGCGGCCATTGCGGTCCAGCACTTTTCGACCAGTCTTCTGCATCAACGGCGGCGGCGCCATCTCTTCCTCCGTGGTCTCGCGGACTTTTCAAAACTGAAACCGCTACTTTGAAATACATGACGAATTCTTTTTATATTCAAGGATTATATAAAAAGTGCTGCACCACCTTACTGCATAGGTTCTGAATCTTGATCCCGTTACGACGTACACACATATATTTTAAACGTACTTTTAAAACTTGTTTTGAATGTTTTTAAACAACCCGGCATTGAATCCCAACCAATATGGACCACGACACCGCGCCGCCCGCCGCGGCAACATTCGTGTCTGGACAGACAGCGGTGTGTGTGCCAACTTTATCTCGACAAGAAGCATACTTCTCTGTGAAACGATATGGGGTTGTGGACTCTGTGGACGAGTACCAGCGCTGGATGACGCTGGAAGAAGCGTTCTTCCTGGCCACCACCGGCCACATTCACATTGAGACCCTCTCAACGCAAGGCGCGATGTGGGCTGCGTTCACGTCGTAGGTTGTTATTGACGTTGGCGGGTTCGCTCATCGCGGTGGTGCAGGGCGGATGACTCGTTTCCTTCGAGATACACGGCCTATGCGCTCTATCGATCGCGAGGTTGGATTGTCCAGTCCGGGTTGCTGTACGGCGTCACGTTTGTGCTATATCGAATGTCCCCCGACATCGTTCACGCTGAATACATGGTCTACGTCCATGACACGACATCGTCCTGCGCATTGTCGTGGCAGCTCCTTCAGGTGAGGTGATTTGAGCTCGCCAACGATTCACCCATGCCTAGATGTTGACGCGGCTTGCAGAAGATGTCAAGAAGACGGTGCTAGTCTGTGAAGTCCAACGCGCATCCGACTGGGACGCATCGTTGATGTACATGGGCTTGGTTTGCAAGGAGCTTTGCTTCCGCCACTGGCCCGCGCTCTTTACTGAAGGCGCTTCCTTTGCCATGGCCGAATCGCATGCCATCCCGAAGCGCACGCGGTCTTAAAAGTAGTGTCAACTTGGACAGATAGTTGAAGAATTTTGTCAAATGTTCATCGTTTTCGATTCATATTTTGTATCATATTGTGCTTTCGAGCGATCTCATTGGCTGCTGAAAAATGTCTCCTACAAATGACTCCCGAAAGTAGTAGACAGGACGAGGTATGACTGGCGCCATCAAGTTGGCCATGTCCTTGCAACACCCGCTGTGTGGTGCATGCCTTCAGCTCGTCTTGGAAATTAGCACGTCTGCATTGCTCACAGTGTCGCCCTCATCATTATAATCAATACTGTTTCTTTGCATCGACCAATCGGATCGATTCTGGATCGGTGTGAAGAATATCATCGACAATATTTGGTGTCAATTTCGACATGGACCTTCAATTTGATACTTGTGGCAAGCGCCTGGCAAGCGTGCATGGCGGTCGACGCTTTCAACACCGTGGGCCGTGCCAATAAAGCGCTGCACCACCACACCAAAACAGGAATATATAGAAATCGTACGGTGCAGCGTGCACTTGTTTCCGCCTCCGTTCCCCACGTGCACGAGAACCAATTGGTATTCTTCTAACATACTCTGCGCTCGGCTGCATCATGCGGGCAAAGCTAGACGTGTAGCCCTCGACAGTTGCCTCGTTGGGCGATCCGCCATGAGATTGCTGTAAGGAGCGTAGTTCGTAGCGGTTGAGATGGCGCGCGCCTTGCCAGTGTGCATCGAATGACTCCAAGTGGCGGCATCATGTTTGACAGGTCCAACTTATTTTGGAAGGAGGAATTCCAGTTTTTACAAATAACGATGTTTTTGTATCGGAATTGATTCATGCAAATAAAATGCCGAGTTGGGGAGAGGAAGTCAATCGCAACAGCACCCAAGCAGGTCCACGATGGCGTCGTTTCGAAGCCACAGCGCAGCCGCGGCATCATTTGGCGCGTCAGGAAACTACCTATCGCGCAGCGGAACGTCCTTCACGCGCCACATCCTTCGCGTGCAACTGCACAAAGCGACGGATTTGGCAGCCGGTGACTTTTCGCTCCTGGGCCGGCACTCCAGCGACCCGTATGTGGTGCTCACGGTCGGCAAAGAGAAGCACAAGAGCGTAGTGATCCCCAAGACTCTTGCTCCTGTGTGGTCCGACGACTCTGTGTTCGACTTCCACGTTACGGACGGCGATCTCTTCACAAAGGTGTTGGACGTCCAAGTGTTTGACGAGGATAGCCGCAATGACGACTTGCTCGCCACGCTTGCTTTACCACTCGCCCAATTCGCCACGCAACCTCCAACTTCTGCCGCTCGCCCGAAATCGTACACGATGCAGGTTCCAGCGGCGTTCGCCAAGCAAAAGGTCTCGACGCAGATCGTTCTTTCGATCCACTTGATGGACGACGGCGACGTTGTCGACAACCCAAGGCTGTACATCCCGCGTCATTTCAAAGTCACCCTGCACAAAGCGACAGACCTCCCCGCCGCCGACTTTGCCTTGTTTGGAAAAGGTAGGTCGTCGATTTCGTCACCTTGCATTGGCTCACCAGCCGCCGATCAGGGAAAAGCGATCCGTACGTTGTGTTCACCATCGGGTCCCAGCGGTTCAAGAGCGACACAATCAGCAAGAATCTCAACCCCGTATGGTCAACTACGCCGGTTTACGAGTTTGACTTGACGCAAGATGATCTGTTCACCCAAGTGCTCGACATTCAAGTGTTCGACTCGGATCATGGCATGAGCGCGGATGACCTGATCGGGACGTTGTCGATTCCGTTGGCACAATTCGACGTCGTCGACGCCGCCACTCCCGCGCCGCGCATGCGACCGTATCTTCTCAACGTCCCTGACGAGTACCTCAAGCAGAACGTCCATCCCCAGCTCTACCTCACCCTCGACATGGACCCGGCCCCGTTTGTCGATTCTGCGGGCGATTCGGAAACGGTAAATGATTCCTTTATTTATTACGTCTCATTTATTTTAAGTTGCAGCACAACACGATGCCGCCAGACTTGGCCAAGGCCATGGAGGCGATGCAAGCTGAAATTGCCGCCCTCAAGCTGTCGAGCCAAGGGATGGTGAAGAAGATGGAAGAGGAGATCGCAGTGTCCCCGGCAGCCGATTCTCCTGCGTCCCAACCAGAGCCAGGTACCGCGAGTGTCGATGGAATTGCCACTGCTTTTCTGGATAAGACGTTGACCGTGCAGTAGAGACGGAGGGCGATGTGAAAAAGCGCGCGCTGGTCAACGAGCTCCACGGTTTGCTCAAGCTTCCTCCGATCAAAACATTTACCAAGTTGCAAGTGTCGTCGACGGCGGACGGGGCCGCGTTGCAGTGGCAAAACGAAATCGAGCACCTCAAGACTCAGTTGGCCCAGCAGAAACGCCTGAACGAAATGCTGGCGGCTCAAGACACGAGCGCCAACGCGGACAAGGAAGAAGTCGAACGACTCAAACGCGAAGTCGAGCTTCACAAAGCGACTCTTGCGGCGGCCCAGTCCATGATGGAGGAACAGTTGCTGCGCGAAGCGGAGACTCAGAAGGAGCTCAAGATTCTCAAGAGCATCTCCGCCGTCCGCACGTCATCGTCGTCAACATTTGGAGCTGTGACGGCGCCTCCGCCAGCACCGATGAGTCCCCGGTCCAAGTCGACGTCCGATGTCCACAAGGCGGACGACGATGAAGGCGAAGATGAGTCACTGTGGCTGTAACGCGGACTTTCTTTTACAAACGCAGGCTATATTACCTTTTCTTTTTGCTAATTTTTTCTTCATGTCGATGGCAATTACGTCGAAGTATTGGAAAAAATGGTCAGTTTAACAGCATATGAAACAAGAAAAAAGACAATTTTTATCATTTTCCCGACAGTTTGAATATATACAGATCGAAAATGCGGAAAAATTTCAACTTGCGGGAAGATAATTTGGTTTTTTCGAGGCAAGTCACTTAAATTGAGACTTTGGGTCCACCAATCACCATTATCCAGAACATTGAAGCATGGAGTCGACTGGAGATGGGACCGCCGCCGCACCGGCGTCTACGGTCGTGTACGAGTCGTTCTCGAAGGACAGTTTGATTGAAATATTGCGCCGATTCCGCCATGAGCACCCGTCGTCTGTGGAGCCTATGGACGCGATCGCCCGCACGATCCACGTGCCTGCAACCAACCCACCACACACGCCGATCCCGCGTGGAAGTGGCGAGCCTTCCAAGAAGAAACAAAAGATGGACAAGAAAGCACAAAAGCCGTTCGATTTCTCACGGTACCGCACTCGACACGTCGCCCTCAAGTTCTCGTACATGGGCGAAAAGTACGCCGGGTTTGCGCGTCAGGATCACATGGAGGTACAACCGCACAACTTCCTCTGCCACTTGAACAACAACTTTGAACACACAGGAAACAATTGAACGCTACATGATTGACGCGCTGACAATTTCTCGGCTCGTCGAAAACTTTGCCACGTGCGGCTACTCCCGCTGCGGACGCACGGATGCGGGTGTGAGGTGCTTCGTTTCTCAGGTCTCTAACGACGTCCTCATTCCCGCCACATAGCGCACTGGGCCAAGTCATTGGACTTGTCCTGCGATCGAACGTCCCGGCGGACGGCACGCTCTTGGACGGCAAAACCATCGACGACATCCATGCAGGGGACACCTTCCGCGTCGAGATGCCGGACGGCACGATCAAGACCCTCGTCGAACTCGATTACCCCACGTGCCTCAACTCGGCGCTGCCGCATGTACATCTACTTTTTCTGGCTTCTATGTTGGCATCGCTGTCCACAACACGACGATGGTGGAGTTTGACAACAGGGTAGGATATTCGAGTGTACGCATGGGCGCCGGCGCCGCCGGAGTGGAGCGCGCGTTTCCTCTGCCAAGGCCGGACGTATCGTTACTTTTTTCACCGGCGTTCGCTCGATCTCGACGTACGTTTCGTCATCGTGACATCTCATATGTGGGATGACGTTATCCCCGGTGCCTGGATCACGTGTCGTCCAGGCCATGGCGTCGGCGGCGCAGTTGCTGCAAGGCAAGCACGACTACCGAAACTTTTGCCGCATGGACCCGACTGTGACCAACTTTGAACGCGAGATTCTGTCGTTTCAAGTGCATCAGGTCAACGACGCGACCACCGACCCGTACTACGACCTGTGCTACTTTCAGGTGCGGTGGACATCTCGTCGGCGCTTTGACGGCCTGGATGGCGCCCGAAACAGGTTCACGGCCGCGCGTTCCTTTGGCATCAAGTACGTTGCATGGCGGCGATCTTGTTTCTAGTCGGAAAGGGCCATGAATCGCCCGAAATTGTCTCGACCTTACTTGACATTGACGCGTGCCCGCGCAAGCCCCAGGTGCGTGCCAAAGGACAGGTTGATGCCATTCTCCGCACCGTCTTCGAACGCGGCGTCGATGGCGTGTGTTTCTCTCCACTGCATGCGGCGCTGACGGGAAATGTGTGCAGTACGAAATGGCGCCGGACTTGCCGCTTGTCCTCCACGACTGCGCGTTCGCCTCGATCGACTTGCGGTGCGAAGTCGTCTCTTTACTTCTTTCTATGGATCGGCGTCCTCAACGTGAGCAGATTCATGCCAGGGGCTGTGAACCGCGTGTACCATGACGTGGAGAACCAGTGGGAAGCGGCCAACTTGCGCGCCGCGTTGCTGCGGAACCAGTTGGACACGCTCAAGAAGCTGCCCGTGCAGCCCCATCGCGCGATCGTCGAGCTCCAGCGTCGCCAAACCCCGCAGACAGCAGCTCATGTACGTCCTTCCATTCGCTGCATTACAGCTGAGCGTGATGGCCAGATCGCCGCGTTCAACGCGTACGATGTCGATGCGCACGTGGAGTTTGGCGAGATCTTGCACCGCCTTCCCGCTGCAGGCAAAGGGCTCAAGCACATCCCGCTGCTCCAGCGCAAATGCGGATTCTCCTTTGAGGAAAAGATGAACAAAGTCAAGCGGAAGGCCGCGATGAAAAAATTGGCTGCCGATGCCGACAACGAAGTTGCCTAGTCGAAGCTGACCGCTGAGTGGGCATTATTCCATTTATTTTGACCAATGAATTTCACTGAAATGGATTGACGTTGCATGATTCGCTACAAATTTAACATTTCCACCAATCAAACGAATATATCTGTCACATGGACGAGAGGTCGTGCCCACGACACGATGTCGTCGGCTCGATCGTGTGACGGCGCACCAGAATAAATAGGAGCTCAAGGAAGAGCTGCTATGGATCCGTCATGGGCAGCATGGCCGAGAAAGGGGGCTTGTGGCGGTGGGTGGGAGGGATGCATTGCCGTGATTCGAATGGGCGCTGACGCCCAATTCGACGACATGGCTGATGCGCGGGGAGGCGGTCCGGTCCATGCCACCATCGGTGGCATATGACGAACCAACGGATGGTCTAGCGGCGGCGTGGCATTGTTCAAAACGCGACGTAGGGTTCGTACCCACGCTGCGCACGAGCCAGCAGCGGGGCAGTCGAATCGAAGCACGGTGTTGTCTACAGAGGCGGCACTTGAGCGCCGCATTTGGACCTGGATATTCGAGTGAGCGACGTACTAGTCGTGATGGTCCAATGCTTCTGGAACGCTTGCACGGTCGTGAGCAGTGGCGCGACGACGAGAATGTGCTTGGTGGTCCCTTTTAAGGGCTGGAATGCCGAGTCCACGGCTTGCCACGCGAGGTGGTGATCTTGCAAAGACACAACGACAGTGCGGCCGCTTTGTCGAAGGATTCCAGTCTTGACCATCAACTCATGCGGTGGAGCGCTGTCGGGTATCGCTCCAGCAGACGTTCGGTTCACCTAGCCGTCCATGTCAGCAGTGCTCTCCCGCTCGCGCTTTGTGCTCTAGTTCGTACGTGTGGTGTTGTCGGGGTGGGCGGCGGTGGCAAACTCACCCATTTGTGGATCGTCGGGGAGTGCTTTGGCAACGGCGGGACAGTCAAGGCGTTCGTGACTCCCGCCACGTTGTTGGACGAGAGCGACGAGTGGGCCGTGGACATCCCGCCGAGTTGCTGCAGACACGTGACTCGTCGGATCGTGCGGAGCGGCAACGGTGCGCATGACGCGACCTTGGCGTCGGGGTGGGGTTGGTGCGGAGACGTCGAGTACGACCGGCGTTGGTGTCGCAAGTACGGCGAAGCCGTGGGGGTCGAGTGCAAGTCGTAGTACCCCCACGCGGCGTCGGTCCCCGCAGCTGCGTCCGTCATGAATCAATGAGCGCTGGCTCCGTCGTCGCCCGGCGCACCGCCAGACGCACCTGACTCACCCCCTTCGATAGATTGTGTTGCGCATGTCCACCCTGCCGCAACTTCAACGGTCGTCGGCCGCTCATTGGTCCAATTGCTGCTGGTAACCCTTGAAGTTTGTACTGTCACATTGCACTTGGCACCACGCGCTGTGGAGCGCAAAGCGCTGCGGCGCGGCGCTGCCAGCGCCGTGTCCGACGTGCCGACGAGGCCGGCCACGGGGTTGGGGGCGGCCGTGTGCCGGCCTGGATCCCGTGCCATGGGTCCCATCGTCAACTTGCAGATTTAAGTAGAGTCGGTCGAAATACCTTGGAAATTGGGGTGAAATCGAGCCAATGTTGTGGCAAGTGTCAAATTCACGTGGAAATTTGCCAAATTTTACATCAAAATCAGTGGAAACACTTTGACCTTGAGGGTCGGTGTCGAGATTGCCATTTTCAAGTGCCCGATGATGGGGCACACGGATAGGACCGCCGACGGCGATCTCTCGGCTATTTCTTGGCCCGTTTTGCAGCGGGTGCCTTGGCGGCCTTGCCTTTGGACTTTTTGGCCGCCGCTGTCTTGCCAACCTTGGGACCTGCCACGGCCTTGGCGAACTCGACCGCAAACGTCGAGTTGTACGCTGTATGGATAGACTCGACACACGGCAAGCCGTCGACTTTGGTTGGAACACCAACTGTCTTGGCATCGGGGCTATGTCCGAGCTGGCCTTTATCGTTGCGACCCCACGTGAATACAATGCCGTCCATGGTCAGCGCCAACGAGTGGTGGTCGCCAGCGCCGATGATCCGCACGCCACCGGATGCAGGGGGTGGCGTCCACCCGAGGTCCTTGGGCTCTTCAACGACAGACACCTCGTCTCCACCAGGTGCTTCTTCACCCAGCAACTGTCCATGGGTGTTGCTGCCACAGCCAAACACATGACGCTCGTTTGTGAGGAAGAGCGAGTGCGAGACGCCGCAGGCCACCTGCATCACGTTAACGTTGTGCAGTGCTTGGATGAACCGCGGACGGGGGACGCGAAATGTTTGGCGGAAGAACTTGGAGGCATTGGGTGGAACTGGTGGCTTCGGGTGTCCAAGTTGGCCGCCTTCGCCGAGACCCCATGACCATGCTCCCAGCGTCCTGCATGAACCCGTCATTCGAAGGAATCCAGATAACAGATCGTACCCAGTCACCAAAGCGATCGTGTGCGCCGCCCCAGTAGCAAGCGCGCGGACATCACGGCCGAGAAGACACGTGGTCGGCTCGTCCTCCTTGCATCCGTCGACCTGTTGGGATGGCGTCACGGTGGCATGGCAAAAGAAGTCCTCACCGAAGTTGTCGCAGGGCCTTGGGCGTTCAGGAGCTGCGGGACCCATTGGTTCCTCATGGTCGAGTCCCCAAGTTGTCCTTGAATGTTGGCGCCCATCGTCATAAGCACCCCAGGGAGCGCTCTGTGAAAGTAGTCGTCTTCTTTTGCCAAGCCAGACGTCATCACGACAAAGTCGCTGCCCGCCGCCGCTGCATCCACCACCGGTCATCGTTCCCGCGCATTTTCCACGACAAAACACAACGAGAAAAAACGTACCGAGCACTACGGGCAACTCTTGTTCGCGCAAGGCGGAAATTTTCTTTGGCGTTTTTTTGTGTTTGTTTTCCTGGTGCCCGAGTTGCCCCGACTCGCCATTTCCCCAAGTGTACATGTGGCCGTTTTGCGACAGCAGCGCCGCGAATTCCCGCCCGGCAAGCACGCGTTCGAGTCTAGGGTCGGCAGACGATCATGGAATGCATGGATGAGGTGGTGAGAGCAACGGAGGCTACCTGCCCTCATTCGCGGGTCGCTTGTCGAGACCTTCTATCTAGATGTGGTTGGGTGTCAGGGTGTTGAATAGCCGTAAAGCTCCAAGTACCTTTCGGAATCGCGCGAGCTTTTCATGTACCATGTCTTGGTGGCCAAGCTGCCCCGACGTCCCTGTGCCAGTCGTGTACACTTGCCCTTCGTTTGATAACACGATTGAAAAGGATTCCCCGACTGCGATATCCCGCACAGAAATGCCACCGAGGTCTGACACGGCGGTGGGTGCCATGACGATAGCTGTGTCCGCGCCAATGCCTAGCTGGCCTTCTTCATTATCTCCCCATGCAAACACGCTGGATAATGGTGATTGCTTGGGCTTCAACGCTGGCACCCGTCCTGCGCACAGTTTGCAAAACCAATCGCCTTCCGGCACCGCGAACGACTTGTTGAAGTTGTTTCGAGGCTTTTGCTGACAGCATATGCATCCATGGTGGCAAAACGTGTGGAATGGCGCATCGCATCCGTCACAGAGCACAAGGAACTCTTCCTGATCTACTTTCCCGCACACGCGGCATGGACTCTCGTCTGCGTCGCTCATTACTGTGGTGGTCGTATCCGGAGCGGACATCTTGTTATCCGAACAAGCTCACCGCAGCATCCGGATTTGGTCTATCCAGCAATCCGGATAACAGCGATGTATCCGGCACATGTTCTCGAAATTCGCTGAAGCACGACGGAAATCGAACTTAACCGAGTCCAAGTTGTTACATTGCCTCTCGAAACACGCGCTCGGCCCCCTGCACGACATCCACGCTATCAGAGCTGGACACTATTGTGCATGCTGCATTCTAACGAACCATCGTCGATGGCCACTGGACGATTAAATGACGAATGGTCCGAAATAGTGACATCCACTAATAAATAAACGAATTCTCATTTAAATATGATACTAGTATTCCGTCAACCCTTGGTTCGAACTCCATTATTTATCCATTCGTTAAATAATGCATTTAATAGTCTTGAGCCAAAGGGTCGACGAGTAGAGAAAGGGGGCGCCCGATTGCTCTGGGCAACACCAATCGCAACATGCAACCGTGGGTGCTTCAACACACCTTCACATGAGGCCACGCGAATGGCTTCCCCAAAAGATTTCCATCCAACATCGGCAAAACGGTTGGATGCTAAATTAGTGACATGAACGTACTTACCAGAATTGTCATTTTAGGTGCGAATTGGTCAACCAATGAAGGCCGCTGCGCCAATCCATCACTTGACCAAGATGCAACGACGGATGGCGCGCGCCGCCACGCGGCTTCCTCGCACTACCACGCCTTCTGTGCATGCTCCATTGATCACCATGCAGGCCGCTGTCTTTCCTACTTGGTCCACGAGCTCCATGCAGAAGAAGCATGCAAATCACCGTGCATTTCATTCGCATGCGTCATCGTCCCGCCGACCGTTCCATAGTTCAACTCGTCTGGACGCATCCAAGCGCGACTACTACCAGGTTCTTGGCGTCAAGAACGACGCAACGAAGAACGAGATCAAGAAGAAGTACTACGAGTTGGCGAAGAAGTTTCACCCGGACACGAACAAAGACGACCCGAACGCGGCCAAAAAGTTTGCCGAGGCCACGGAAGCATGGGAGATTCTCGGCGACGAGGAGAAGCGCCAAAAGTACGACACGTTTGGCCATGCGGGCGTTGATCCCAACGGTATGGGCGACGGCGATGGCGACTTTCACGGGTTTGAGGACATCTTTTCGCAAATGTTTGGACATCAAGGCGGGCGCGGCCGCGGCAACGGACGACCACGGCCCGAGCGCGGCGCCGATGTCCAAGTGAATACCCACATCTCTTTCATGGAAGCTGTCAACGGGACAACTCGCGACCTGAACGTGTACACGGACGTGACATGCGAACCGTGCGGCGGAAGCGGTGCCAAGCCCGGCACGAGCCCCAAGAAGTGCAAGTCGTGCAATGGCAGCGGCGTCGAGATTCTGCAGCAAGGCTTCTTTGCCGTCGAGCAGCCTTGCCGTCGTTGCCGTGGCGAAGGTACATTCCGCATGTCTACCTTGTTGGTGTTGCCATCCGACGGTGGTGAAATTTTCGACCGTTCTGCGTGCTCTCCGCCGCAGTCGGTCTTGCCAGCGAGGAGCCTTGCATCATGCCATTCTTCGGCATGTGCTGCAATGGGTTGCTGTGTCCGCCGAGTTTGTGAGCAAATGTTTACTTTGCGTGCTCTTCCGACCGTCCCATGGCTCCATATTCCGACCCGTCTGTCTTGGCCGTAGGTGTTACGATCGACAACCCGTGCGGGACGTGCCGGGGCCGCGGCAAAGTGAAAAAGTCTCGAACGGTCGAGGTCAAGATTCCCGAAGGCGTCGACAATGGCATGAACTTGCGCCTGGCGAACCAGGGCGAAGCGGGCAGCAAAGGTAGAGCGGATGTGCTTGACGGAGTGGACGGCTCATGCGTCGCGGGGATGTAGGCGGGCCGGCGGGACACTTGTACGTTGCCGTGTCGGTGGCGCCAGATCCGTTCTTCAAGCGTGACAAAGTGGACGTCCGGTGCGAAGTCCCCATCTCGATTGCGCAGGCGGTGCTTGGCGGGTCGGTCGTGGTGCCAACGTTGACCGGTCAAGTTGAACTCACGGTGCGCTCGCCTTGGCATGCCCAAGTCGTGGCTGACGCTCGCGATAGATTCCAAAGGGCACGCAGCCTGGAACGACGCTCAAGATGCGCGGCAAAGGCATCAAGGAGCTCAACTCGTCGCGCCGCGGTTCCCAACTCGTCACGCTCAACGTGCATGTGCCCGACTCGCTGTCGGACCGCCAGAAGGAGCTCATGGAAGAGTTTGCGGAGGAAGAAAAGCGCCGGGGACAAGACGGAGAGTCGTCATGCAAGAGTCACACGTTTGCCGACACGGTGCGGGCGACAGTGGATCGCATCAAGCAATATATGAAGCCGTCCAGCGACCAGTAGTCGGTGCAAAACTCACGACAAAATCTAGATGTGCTCCGAGATGGACAACAATGGAACTCGAGGTGCATATACACGACACTCGATTAGAGGAGGAAGATGTCGTCCTTGGGGGTCTGGAAAATGCGCGTTTTCTTTCCTGGCATGTCCAAGCACTCGTTGACCTTGGCAGTGCACAACTTGAAGTCTTCGCTCTTTTCCCAGTTCTCGTAGTCCTGGCGAGTCTTCCACTCGGACAGGACAATGTACTTGTGGTGGTCTTCGACGTCCGCAAGGGTCTGCACAGACAAGAGTCCTGGTTGGCGACGCACCGTGCTCTTGACCTACAAAAGCGACAGGTCACCCGCGATATCGTGCAAGCACGAGAGTGGCGTACACGCTCCATCATGCGCGACACCGTGGGCTCAAACCCACGGGACATGATGCGCTCGGTCAACACGCGGACGGGGCCAGTCATGACGGTCATCTCGCAGATATCGACAGGGGCGGCGGGAACCGGCGGGAGAAAAATGGCCAATTTGACCATCCACCTCGTATCTGTTCTTCTATCAAGGGTTTCGTCGACAAGTCCGTTTATCGAGGGATGCTGGGCATACAAACTTGAAGTCAGGCGGTGATGGACCGAACGTAGCTTTTTCGTGCGGCTCCCGTGGAAAGTGCGTCCGCTCTGGCTACGCATGCGCCAGCGAGAGAGAGGCTTGGGACGGGTTGGAGACGGAAGCACTTCCCCCCCATTCACCGTCGCAAACGATAGTGCTGCATTCGATTGCATCGCGTTTGTCGTGTGTGTGTGGCGAGTACAAAGTTTCGGACGACCCCGCAGTATGACGTCGCGATGAACATGTTCATCTCGATTGGATTCCATCCGAGGGACTTGACTGCAGTGGCGAGCTGGACGTTGTCCCCGATGTGGGTTTTCGAGCAGGTGTGACGTGCAAAAACTCACGTGGGAAGAGATCAAGACGATGCTCTCTCCGAAAGAATGCCCCCGATCGTTGGTGTGCCCTGGGTATGCAAACTAGTTCCTGTCATCGCTTGGTCGCAATGCGGGATGAAGGCGCGTGAATTGTGTTGACCAAGGAACTGAGTTGTCAAATCTTGTTCATGTGGTGCGGAGGCGCCAACGACGTGACAGCGCGATGTCGCTGGTGGCGAACGACATGCCTTCCCTACGACCGTCCTCGTGTATGACAGCATGAACAACGGACGCTCCGCAGCCAGAACTCTGAAACACCCAAGTCCCCCTCGCATTGTCGTTCTACTACCCCTCCCTCCCTCTTTCGTCTTGAACATTCAGCCATTTGTCCCAAGCCATGCCACACACCATGAATCCCTTCAGCTCCACACGAGTGATTCACACATCATCGTGACGGTGCTCCCGTTCGACCGTGCGGGTTTCGTTCTCGGCGAGGGCGCTGGGAAGCGTCTGCCCCACTTCGTGACCGCGGAAGCGACCTGTGCTCATCGTCGGCGCACGGTGTGTCTCGGCGAGCCCACCTAACGATAAATACGTAGTTTTATGCAGGCTTAGTCCAGCCGACAGAATTCCCGGACACAAACCAGTTGAGACAGCACGGGGTGGCGTGTCAGGTGCACCAGGAACTCTTGAAGCCCATGGCGTCTCTGCTCCAGGAACGTATCGGACGAGTTGAACAACAGCGTCTTGCGCGGCAGCGCGACGGGCATGTCCACGTGGAGTGCCTTTGCTTGTTTCTTGACGTGCGAGGCAAGGTGGTCAAAGTCCGAGTACCGCTTCTCCAACACGATTTTCAACGGCGAGGCGCCACGACTCGCGTACACGAGCTCAATCGTGTACACGACGTACGACCCGGCAATGGGCAGCGTGTCGCGGGAGAACGTGACTTGGACGCTGGTGGGCTGGAGAGAGGCTACGGCACCATCGGTGGATTTCAGCGCATGAGCACTGCTCATCGGTTTGGGGATGGCTGCTTGTATCCGATGGCGGCTGCCAGCGCGGTAAGTGCACCAGACAATGAACGCGAGTACGGTGACGATCGCGCTAGCCGCCCCGACCGTGAGCGCCAGATCGAGTGTGGCTTGTAGCGGCGTCGGCAGCGACATTAAGATGTAGAAGTGACTCGTCCCGGCCAGCACAACGCGGCGGCCATCCCTTGCGTCCAACGTGGTGGCATAAACTCATCCATCCAGTCCACCTGAGTTGGACTGGATATTTTGGAATTTGAATTAACAATGCCAGCTCCGTACATGTACTCTACAATTTTCTCGATAAAATCTATAAATTGTATGGACGCACGTCGAATTGACCATGCGAATTGGTGGGCGCTGGCTGGTCGAGATTCGTTCCCGCCGTTCAAAACGAAGGGTAGAATACACGCTTCGACGGTGCTGGACGTCGAACATGATGGGGTTGTACCCGTCGCGATGGTACTATACCATCCCACGCCTTACGACGAGAACCCCCGCCGTAAACATGCGCCAAGGGCAAAAATTGTATGGGACATTTCACGCACGTGACATTTCTTGTGTGGACTGTAGTACAGTACTGCAGTTGATCGAAATAATAAATTGAAAACGTGATGAAAAGAGTGGACATCAGGCTTCCGCAATAATATATCGTCGGGATGAGTATCGCGATACTTGGTCGGCAATAATGTATTCTTGGTTCCGAGAGAGCCGATATATCTATTTCCAGCTTGGGGGTTATCGATAAATCTATTTCTGAACTGGCTCCTTTGCTAGGCATTGTACATCTTGGCTTACAAGACGAAGGCGCTCATCACTTACTACTACCTCAACACGTCGGCGACTGTGTTTAAATGCAAAGTTTGTGGAGTCCAACGAACGAAACCACCTTCGGCTGGATATACAAACCTTCTCAGCCACTTGGAGGCCAAGCACGAAGGTTTTCGTGAACGTTTTGAGGCTGCCCGCAACAGCTCTGGAGAAACACTTGACCGATACGGCTTTGTTGACAAGCGGGCAGCAAACCTGCATCATTGGGTGTCGTGGGTTGTAGAAACAAATCAGCCTATTTCTGCTGTCGAGAATGTGGTGACAAGAAGCATGTCCCGCCTTACACCCATTTCAACAAAGACTCTCAAGTCTGCAATGAGCACTTTAACGCAAAAGCGCCGAGGCCAAGATTGCCAATGAAATGCCCTCTGTGTTTGGTCTCTATCTGGATGGTTGGACGGACGGTTCAACCCACTACTGCGTCATATTTGCAACCTACTCGCTCGGAGATGTCGTCCATACACCTCTGCTTGCAATGAGCCCACTCTTGAAGGAAGACAGTCTCAGTGCAGATACACACGTCGACATTATTGTGACGACACTTGAAGTGTATGGAAAAACAAGAGACCAGGTGGCCTTCATTACAGCTGACAATTGCGCGACCAATTCATCAATTGCAGTGAAGATGGGTGTTCCATTGGTGGGTTGCTATTCACACAAATTCAACTTGGCGATGATACAATTTCTCGCCAGCTACGATACGGAAATTGCAAAAATTCACAACCTCATGCAGCAACTTTGTCGACTGAAACTATCTGGCCAATTGAAATTGCTCACAGAACTCAAACCAATTATACGCAACGAAACGCGTTGGTCGTCAACATTCAACATGGTGAAAAGATATTTTGAACTTTTGCCATTTTTGCAAACCATGTATGGTATTGGACCCATGATGCTTACTTCTGCCCAAACACGACGGATGGAAAATTTTTTTGCCGTACTGAAACAATTCGAAAGTGTTACACAGCGACTTCAGGCTGCTGGACTTGATTTGGGCGACGCACGAACCCATTTTGATGGATTGCATGTACGACACCCCTCACTACTTCATATGGCCCCCGATGCGCCCATCACTAGATTCCCCAACTTTGATTCCGCCGTTAAAAATGTTCTGACCAACCGCGAGCACGGGTTGACAGCGGACGAGACCGACGCTTTGGTGAAGCTGCGAAAGCCTCAGGATGACTCACAAACTTTCGTGTCAGAGACGCAAATGACACTTGCCGACGAGGTGTTGGAAGCTAAGCAATGATGTCTAGAGACCTGCCCAAGCGAATACGTGAACCTTCGTTGCGTCCTTCCAACAAGTAACATCGTCGAGACACTTTTCAGTCTTGCCAAGCATATTCTCACGGACACACGGAAGCACATGCATCCGGTAAAATTCGAAATGATCATATTCCTTCGAGTCAACACCACCTACTGGGGAGTGAACGATTTGAGTACATTCGAGTTGTAGGAGAATAACTATTGATACATCACATGGAAAACAATAATCTATTTCCCATCTTGGACGATACCGATATATCGTTATCGTGTCCGTCGATTTCAAAGGACGCGATAGAAATATTATTGCGCAAGCCTGGTGGATATATCGTGGAAGGGTCTCCAATTTCTTAAAATATTCTGCAATTGATATATTATGTGGAGTTGATATTTTTTGTCGTTGGGGCGCCGACCTCATGGTTTTAGTTGTTGTTGGCGGGCATTCTCGAGTCCGCAGAAGCGCTTGACGCAAACCAAATCAGCGAGCATCGCGTCGGCCAGCACCACTCGCATGAACTCATCCAATCCTTACCGTCGTGTCTCGAGAAGTGCTGCATTGAGGCGTCGTCGCAATGATTGGGGGGAAGCGGCGGTGCGGGGCCTGTCGTCGCTTTGATTTGGCCGACTAAAGACACAAACTCGGAGTACCGTTTTTTCGCCTCGACGACTTCCTCGACAAGTGAACACCAAAAATGAGGTCGTGACTTGGTCGCTGATGTCGATCGTCTTCACCTGGATCGATGCTTGCGATACATCGTATTGGCTTTATCGTCTTCGTGGCCAGCAGCGCCACAGCTGGAAGACCACAATATCTCGCTGGCCTCGCCTTGGTGTGGTTGTGTCGCTGTGCAGACAGCAGTGCCCATCCAACTTCGACAAATGCTGAGGTCATGCACATCGTCGCCATCACTCACAGCCCAATGCCGAGGTGCCCTTGAAACGTCATCGTGAATCCAAATGGCGAAGCGCTGGCTGTCGGCGGTAGCGTCCACCGCCGTGTCAAAGTGACAACAACCGTCGAAGGTTACCCAACGTACGACCAAATACATCATATTATGTTCATCAAAATGGAGTGGCTGTGGATTTTTAACGCAGGAAAGCAATTCAATGTGTCCAGCACATCATATTAGCATGAGCCTTCCGTCGCATGCCCTGATACATTTGGCACCATGAAAACCAACAAAATTCAAGTCGTACACTGTACGCCACTGCCGATGGTTGTTCGGCCAACAATTTATTTAAATACCTCGACGACGGTTTCGAGTGAAATTTCGCTGAGCCATGTGGCGACTCGTAGAGTCTCCTCACAAATAACACCGATCGAGGGGAGGCGCAACGCTCCCAGGAATCAGCGCAAGCACTGTCACAGCACATCTCGGTCCTTGTCTAGGACGCTCGAGGGCTTAACGGCTAAAGTGAGAATGAAAGAAACTGTCACCACCACCAACTGTCCTGCTTATCTACCAATCACAGATCATCATCAAGAGACATAGCCAATCAGAGAGCAGTTGGGGTTAGGGATGGCCGAAGGGCACACCCAGAAGAATAGAATGAATTCGGATACGACACGCCAGAGCTGACCGCTCTCGATGGCGGTCTCCATCGGAGACACGATGCGTCGCTTGCTTGATCCCGGGCTTGGGCCCGCAGGAGGCTAACACTAGTTAGTATTCACTCCCGTCAAGTGCGCATGCTTAGTAGACCTTAAGCCTACATCACACGCGACACTCCCCCTAAGGTCTGCTTAGCATCCTTGGAAACACTTACCCCATTACATGAATGAAATATATAAGGAATTAACGCTTAGAATGACTTCATCGCCTTCTCGACTTTTTCGCGAAGCGCGCGATCTTTGATCGTTGCGACAAACCGCTCCGCTACCAAAGGCGCATCTCGGTGGATGTCCTTGAGCGTTTCCCAAGTCGATTCAACATCTTCTAGTCCCGTCCAGTGGACGTAGACCTCCCAACCTTGGTGCATAGAGTTGTATCTTATGCCCCCGATTTCTCGGATCGTGACCATGAGGCCTTGCTCCGAGATGAGCTCTCGTATAGTTTCAGAGATCTCAAAACTCGACTCAGCATATAGCTTGAGGCGTGAGTTGTGTGCCTCTCGGCATTGTTCGGTGAGAAGATGTTTGATCACGCATGAACATTCGCGTACTTCCGTAACTACATACGGCCCCAGCCACGTTACCGCTAGCTTAGGATATTCCCACTCTCTCGTCCAGCTTGTACTCTTTCAGCATTACCCGAAGGACTTGCAGTAAGTCACGGTTCAGTCTTTCGACCGTTCCGTTCCGCCATGGGGTATAAGTGATCGTGAACTTGTGGTCCACTTTCATCTTTGCCGCC